TGAGGAGAACGACGATCTTATTTACTCAAGCCTGAACGGTGCGCGAAACGTGTCGATAATCAGGAGCAATGCAAAAACTTCATTCGTATGGCGGCACACACAAGCTATCGTTTATGTATACCGTTTAGCTAGTCCCTCCGGTTATAAAAACGAATGCCGTAATTAACAGTTCCTGGCAGGGCAGACTCACTCGTCAGGACAGTTCTCTGTGCTTGCGAAGAAGGAGAAAAAGTCTCCGGATTCCCTCCTGCCACGCTCAATCTCGAAAACGATCATCCTGAATCAGGCCGATTGTCTGCCGTTTTTGGGATAAATCTTCGGATTTATCGGAGGGAACTGTCGGATGCTTAACCTGATCATGCGTCGATTTCCGATGCTCACGATCGGATGGTGCATCGACTTCCGGCCTCTTCGCTCAACTTCAGATCCGTGCGTGACCTCGGCTGAAATTCCCGAGGATACGGGGCCCGTGTCTCGGTCGAGCTCACTCCCACTGAATGAATATCCAACCAGACCGATGTTTCTCAAGTTTAGCAGGGAAGAAAAGGCGTCGACCCGGCAGATCTCGGCTGCGAGTTGGCTCACGTGCTCCGCATATAAGATTCTCGATTCCCGCTGACGCTTCTGAATTCATGAGTTCGGACTGTTCGCGCACGACCAGTCGAAAGGGCTACGGGATATTTCTGGCTCATTTTCGTTGCCCCAATCCCCCGAGGAATATAGAGGTACCATTCGATCATCTTAGGAAGTCAAGTCAATAATCACTCGGAGCGCCGGTATGGAAGGAAGCTCATTTGGACGAAACCTGCCGTCAATTCTTCGGAGCTCGGTCGCCTCTCTTGTTCTCGCGGAAAGCTCTGAGGATTGTTCTTTCCATGCGACGCGATCGCTTCATGAAGACCAAAATCAGACTCGTGGCGTTTCTCGGGAACGAAGTTTCCTGCCAAGGAGCATTCCAGCCGCCTCATCCTCATGGCCGTCTATGACTTTTAGACTTTTCTCGCTGCTGCAGCGACGGCAGAGGCAACCAACGTTCGCTCTCACATCCTCTTAAATTCCGACACGAACCTGAAGTTTAGTGAAGCTCACTCCTCTGGTGGGGACCCTGAATCCCATCAGGAATTATCGGTCGGCTCTGAAAATCGAGCCCATGGAAGTCCCCGACGCCGACGAGAGAAGTGTCACCATGACAGCGCGGCTTCATGCGTCTCGCGCACAAGCCATGTAGCCACCAGGCGGGTCACATTGGGTCTGGCGACGAATAACCTCGGGTAAAACGCAAGAATCGAGCGAGCGCTTCCGGTCGCAAGAGGGAGGGCTCCTACTGATGATACATACATCGACTTCAAGGCATCCCCAATTTCATGCAATCCTTTCCAATGATGAGGATCTTCCCCTCTCGTCATCTTTCCGAGCGACCCTCATCGCACCCTCGTTCACTATTCCCAGAGATTTTGACCTGATGGCAAGGACCTAAGTTGAGCGCTCATCCTGGGAAATCTATCAATACATCGAACCCACCCAGTGGTTGTCACGAAGGCTCAAACCTTGAATTGAAGACATTTCGTTTTGGATCGTCGGATCATGCCCTCTCCGAGCCTTGCTTAAATGCGCGAAAATAATACCTGCAATCGGAATGACGAAATTCCCATCTACCTAGACGGCGTCCGGAAGCAGTCACGGTCCGAGTCGTCTTCTCGACTGCTTGCCACCGTCGCAACTCGCTGCGTCCCGATCCCCCTGAAGAAGCGAGTGCAGCAGAAGTCGAGTGGGACCACCCCAATGTGATGGTGGAGTGCTCTGCTCGGGACGATAGCGAATTATTATGGACCCTCACCACCAGCATCGAAGTAGATAGATCTGCTGCTGTTTGCCTCGTGTATACAATTCATCTGGGATCTGTGCTCTCTTACTTGCCTCCGTGTGGTTCGGTGAGTGAGCGAGTCCGTACATCAGTCTGCTGTCTCCTGGTGTGCGACGTGGCGGGGAAAACAGCAACGTCTCGAGCTTAACCGATCTAAGCATCATTTGTACTCACCGAGCCGGAGTTCGTCCACAACATCGTCTCTGGGGTGTTTTTCGCGGCTTGGGACGACGGAGACGAGCAAAGTAGGAGGCAACGCTGACAGGGGACCTATGAAGTCGAATTAAGGGGGCATCTGAATAGGAAGTGAGCCAGACGATGCACGTATGTCGCCAAGGTCGAAAACCGAGAGGCGGGCGACAGAAACTCTAACGCGTCCACCAAGCCTGAAACTCATATCTCTCGCATCTCGAACCTCGAGATTCACAAGAGCGGCCAATGCCGCTCTTCTCACGGAACAAATATGCGAGCTGGACCGAGTATAGCGGAAATGAGCCCGTTCGCCTGGTTTCAAGCCTCCCCCATCAAACAGTAATGAGTCTGCGGAACGCGTGGGACACACGAAGTAAAGCCCGCGAGGCCTGACTAGTCATGGACGAATTTGGGACTCCCAGAATCGTCTCCTTTACTCTTTTCCTTCCAGATACTTCACTTGCCGCCCATGATGGATGTCGGCGATCGTGGGGACGAAGCCTCCCACGATACGGAAGCGAATAAGCGCTCGGGTGTCAATTATTGCTCACTAAGGTACCAGACGCGTTCGTGAGAGAAGCGACCGACTCTACCCTCATTTGAAATAGAGCCTCCGTATTTATCGTCGGTGACTTCGTTCGAAGGAGAATTCGGCTCTGCGAGGTTTCGTGAAGATCCACAACCGATCCGCCCGGATGAATCAAGAGCCTGAGCGGCGAGGCGAATACTCATCACGATAGTCCTCAAGAGATGGCTATCGAGAGAGAAAATATTCCACCGATCCCCAACCGGCAAGAGCGCTCATCCAGGGCTGTGAGGGCGCATTATGTCGGCGCTATGTTTTCATTAAGGACGACCAGCCGCGGCCATTCGTACGCTCAACACCGCGGCTGCCATTCTAGTCATCATCAAGTCGAGAACCTCTCAACGTCGTTCCAGCCGCGGCCGCTTGCTCTGGTACGTAGTCGGGCCCTCTCGAATCCTCAGCCGTTTTGTCTGTTGAAGATTCGGTACGCAAGTGGGCGTGAGCATGAGCCGCTCGGTCGGCCTGCCTGCCTACCAGCAGGCTTCGCTATCCGTAGCTAATGGGATGCTCAAGCCATGTTGTTTGGCGAGCTCGTAGTTCATGTAGGTAATAAATTTTGCTTATTGTTGTGCTTGCCTCGAGTGCAGCTATTCCTCAAAACAGAGAGAACCGTTGATCACCTCTCTCGTTCGACTCAACTATCTCTAAACTACCTTCTAGCCGTCAGCGTGCCTCGTGAGCCTGACAGCTCGAATAATGGGATCTGCTTGATTCGGCTCATTAAATTGAAGATCCGGAAAAAATCCGCGAGGCTGCAAAACTCTCGCGAGCCGGGTAGATGATTTGCGATTTTTTCCCTCGTGTAATCAGATGAGCGCCGATTCGAATGCGAGCGCGGCGAGCTCACGATTGCGCTCTGGATTCTCGATCGACGGTCATCTTCCATTGCCGTCGATGGGAGCTGTCGAGATTCGATGCGGATCTGAAACACCAGAGCGTAAACGAGTCCAAACCTATTTATCCCGCCGTTTCATCCTTCGTTTCCTTCGTACATCGCAAACGCGCAACGGATACAGTGAGCAGACGTAGCATCAAGAACACGCGACGGCCTTGCCCAAAGCAACGTATGCAACGTAAACGAAGCGAACGCGACTCCCAGTCGATAAGAGACCGTAGATGTGTACACGTCTTGTACGATACATATGTGGATGTTCATATGTATGTACGAGCGTGCGGTTTTGTCCATCAGAGATAACGAGATAAGCTACGACCGTAGGATAGCGAGGCCGACTGGCCGAGAATCGAAACTACGGATTCTCACTCGATGCCGGTGCTCGAGCGAGGGACAGACAGCATTGACGGCTCACCGAGACGGCCAACGAGCGGAGTTCATCTGACACTTTCCTTGCGGTTTTCCTTCTTTCGTGTTCGTCCCGGTCCTGACAGCGTGTCGAGGAAGATCCGTCTCCTGTCCCATAGCACTTCTAAGCACATCCCTGAGCAGAAGAATCCTGACGCGACGTTGAGGTTAATAGTGTGTCAAGCGAGTCGTCGTCGACGACAGCTAGACAAACAACGAGATCGGCGGCAAATACGCGGCTGTAGCTCCGTAGAGTTACAGCACCATGTTTCGCTAAGCCGTCTCCCTGATTGAGTTGGATGGGAGACGTAAAACGAGTCCACGAAAAGCGTGCGACGACAATGACGAGATGCTTTGCGAGGTCCCCTCGGGTTTCGACATTCTCGCTCGAAGGGACTCCGTCGCGCTCTGAATTGCGCGGCGGGGAGAAGGGTGCCTAATTGAAGGCTTCATAACGGAAACAATTGCTCCCGCTTATCTCGTTCTCTGTCGACGAACTATTATGTCAATATCCACGCGGACAAATATCAATGCGGAAAATCTATTCGAGACAGCGGCCGAAAATTGCCGGTCCCGACATGACGCAAGCAGTGTCGACAGCAAGGCGTCGAAGTCTACGCGGCAAAGGACCGCTGATCGACGGAAACCCCGCGACCGGTGGACCTGTGACCGCGACGATTCTGCGCGAAACAAAATCCTGAATTGTCCGAAACCAGAGCGAGTGAAAACCCACCGGAGCGTAACTCAAGCTGAGCGGAATCCTCGTGAGATGGAGTCTCGCGGGCTCGGGACCGTGGTCGGTGTTCGTCGTTCTCCCGGATAGGGAGAGCAGGCGGACGACGAAACTGACATAGCACAAACGCGGGCTACGTGGGGTGCGGGACGGCGCCGAAGGAGCTCGAGACCCGAACTTCAATCGTGAAACAGATTTGTCATCTGAAGGGTCGCTTGGTTCGATGGTCGACGGCGAACTGTTCCTCATCGAGTGGCCTCTCGAGACAAGGACATGATTCAACAGAAAGGATCCCGATCATAAGTTTTTGGAACGACGGAGAGAAATGGATTGGATCTCGATGTGTAATCCGGCTTCTTTCTACGGACTTCGCAAAACGTCCCCGTCGACCTGCTGCCAATTCAGCTGTTTCTGGCGTACGCTGTTCTTCGTTGCATACACGTGTAGCTGGTGGACGGATCCGGTGGATTTTCGACGAGAGACGAACATCTCGACGTGCATTCGGCTGTTCGTGTTCCTTTACAGAATTCAGAGCACTCATGTGAATCCGGCGATATCGTTTTGCGAGGCTGTCTTCCGATCGAGAGCCTACAACGAGCTCTTAAATTCGATGGTTCCGGCGGTGCCAAACGTTCGGGGATTGTTGGCCCACGCCGCGCTCAACGCGTCGCTGGTGGTCGCAGCCGCCGTCACGATAATCAATAAGCAACGCGATCTCGAGTTTTCTCGCGTAATCCTTCAGCTTTGTCGGATTTACGTTCGCTACAGCGTGTACGCTATCGCCCAAGACTACATCGGAAAGGCGAGCGTGGTGAAAAACGAACTGCGCCGCCTGACAAGTCAGCTTAAATCGCAAAGGGTTTTGGCGCTGTCGCAGAGCTGGACGTTGATTCGGTACAAGACGAAAATCCGAGACCAGACCCGCTGCATGAACGATGTTTTCGGATTGCAAGTGTTTCTTTTCTACTCGGCAACTGCCGTTCACCTGTCGGTGCTCGTCGGTAAATTGATCATCTCGTGGAAGTCGGTCAACCCGATGGAGGGTCTGCTGGAGATTTCACCGATTCTGATTGAGTGCTTGGTAGCGATAAGCCTCGCTTTTCAGATGTCTCATCTGGGATCAGATATAGTGGATAATTGCCTCGAAGCAGAACATCTTCTTACTGACGAAGGTAGACTCGCCGACGAGCTCCGGGTCGTGTTGGCCTACCGGGAGCAGTGGGACTCTTTACGACTTCTAGATAGCGTTCCCAACGAAGTGTCGGCCATTATGGGAGCCGTAATCAACATTATAACGTTCGTCGCGATCGTCCTGCAGTTCGATGTCACTGTCAGCCAGGCGATTTTCGACCCGGGTCACTGCAAAAAGGGACCGGAGTGATTTTTCCGATTCGAAGAGCGATCATTCATGCTGCCTGATCGGAAACCACTGAGCCCGTGGCGACCTGCTTCGCCCCCGACGCTCGCTTCGAGATTTCTCGGAGACTCGCGAATCTCTTCAGACAACCAGGAGGATGTCATTCCAGCGGATTGGAGCTCCGGATGGGGATCCCGATCCCCGAGGAGCAGTCTGAGAGTCCCTCGACATCAGATAAGCGATCAACGATCGCTGGACTCACGAAATCCGATCGAGTGCCGCTCCGTACCTGTGAGCTTCGTTTTCGTCGAGGAGGACGAGTTCGAGCAACCGCGATCACCAGACGCTGACCGACGAACAAAACCAAATCGAGCTCCTTCAGAATGGAGCTATTAATCGTGTGATTGTACTTGCTACACGCGCAAACCACTTGACGCTTTACAGTCCCCCGAGGAACCATTCATCCGCTCGCTGCTGGCTTTTTAGCTGCACTGGGTCCATCGGGGAGCGACCCTGATTTCAGCAGGAAGTCGGAGGTGGACCTCACTCGACGAGTCTGTTCCTGCCAGCCATCCTTCGATCTTCCATTAGAGAAGGATGAGGGGCTCGAGCTCTTAATCGCAGTACGGCCGATCGCTCGTATGAGCATCCCCAACGAATTTAGCCGGAGCCTCCTGGAATTCGTACTTCAATTGCCGAAAGTCCGCTCTCATTCTCTCGGCTGTGTTGACCTCAATACTGAGATCCTCATCAAGAATCTCGAGGACCCTTGCGAGGAGCAGAAGATTGCCGCTAGGCACGCGGACGAAAGCTTTGGAAACAAGCCATCCTTCTTTTGTTGGATAAGCTGACCTAAACACTCAATGGGAGGAGCAAGTCATCGAAGCCTCCGGAGAGGGTAAATACTTCCGCTTCTTCCTCGTTTCCAACGGGGTCCCTGAATTTCCCCGAAAGGGGCAATTATGGAACGATCCTCTCCGGAATTCAATCTGCCTTCAGGCTCAAGCCGCATGTAGGGGATGACGAGCGGAAGTTTTCGCGGATCTACGGTCGGTTCCTAGCCGGATCGAGAGAAGACTGATGCGCATTATGTTTCTCATTGCGCGGTATGTCGTAATTCGTTTCATCGGTAGACCTCACCGCAGGAGCAATAGGCGCGAATCGGATTCCGGAATGACCCTCTCGCCTCAATGGTACACGAGGACTTGTCGTTCTTGCAGCGCGCCTTGAATTCGAAAAATCCTCTCGCCCCTGCAATCCTCCCCTTATGGTCTGCTGTTTCTTCTCTACAAGATATTCTTGGCGGGAAGCGAGAACTTTCACGTGCGGATCCACCGAAAGTCTTGCAGTGAGTAAAGTTTCAAATGCTTACATAATTAGTGGTCTGAGCGAAGATTTTCACTTTTGACGGTTGGCAGTAAGGTGTTCTCAGCCAGAGTGGGGATTTGACCAGTCACGGCTCGCGATTCGTGTTCTTTTTGTAAAAAGTCATCGTGAATTCGCATTCGAATACCATTGACTATCGACAACGGAAATGGGTAATTCGTTCCGAGACTCAACCATCGACAGCCGCTCCGAGGTGGGCGCAGCCTACTCAAGGCTGGGGACATCGGAGAATCAGCTGTAAAAGGTGAAAGTTTCAGTCATCTGTGAGAAGGCCCATATGATCGGGACTGATGGGAGGCCATGCGGCGAGGAGGAATCCGCCTGGCACCGAGTGGTCCCTGTTTGTACCTCGTGCCACTCCCCGTCCGTTCGTCCAGGCCCGTGATTTTTCCAGCGCTCGACATTTGACCACGAAATTCCGTACGGTTTCGCGGTCACTGCCGATACATTCAGAGCCCGCAGGGGTAAACCCCCAGATATTTTTCGGGCGAGAGGATATCGTGGGAGAGATGAATATAAGCATCGTTTCCTCTCTATTCAATGAATCAACTCGACATCCGAGACTGAAGGCACCTGGTCTCGGAAGAATATATAAACATTATAGATCAAGATAGAATAACGAAATAAATCGAATGGTCATATACATGTATTATGTATATGATATATTTAGGCCTTCCGCCTCGCTTACGCGTCGATACCGGTGGTATCAGAGGTGGGGACAATCGTTTCAAGAATCTCATTATCATCTCCAGTTCATATCGCTCCACCATGGAGCAATCTCCATCGCCACACAGCTATTTCGATGGACGAAGTCTCGGATCATCCGATGATAAGCCGTCGAAGAAGAGAAACCCGATTTCGCAGACAGGATCCACTCCGGGAGCGTCTCATACACGCAAACAGAGTTCCCCCACCGTGAATGAGTTCCTCTTGTGCCCCCATTGTGGATGTCGTTATAAGGGAAAGAGTTCTTTCACAACGCATCTCCGGAAGAAGCATCCCGACATGCACACAGAAGTTATCTGCTATGTCTGCAATTCAAATGTGAGCGCGCTAATTCTACTCTTCTCGGTATCGGCGATTCCGCGTCCCGTAATTTCTCACAAATCCTAGTCACCCGAAAACCCTGACCATGAGGAACGCCTACGGGGAGTGCTCATATATAAATGAGAAACCCCACACGTAGAGAATTCTCCATAAAAGCCACCGCGCGTTCAAGCAAGTGTCCCCGTTGAGAAACTCGCGTCAAGGGAACTTCCCGTACAAAGGCTCCCACGTGTGTATAACGAAATTACTGCGTGAGCTGCGGAAACTTTTTCGGTATCGGGGTTTCTTCTTACGGGAAGTTCCCTTGTTTCGAGCCTCCTCAGGGGAATTTCTCTATGTCCGGGGTTTCTCATAAGAAGGGAAATTCCCCACACGGCGAAAGTCGGGATTTCAGGGAACATTATTATTGAGTTCCATTACCGAGTTGGTATTCAGGCGAAATGATTACAGGTCGACGAGGCGGCCTTCGAGCGGCATTTCCATGAGCACCGGACTGTCGAAATGCGACAGTCTCAGAGTTCACATCGACTTCTGAAATGCGACTTCTGCGACTTCACCTGCACTCTGGACGTGGACATGATTCAGCACACGGGTATCGACCACGATGGAAATAAGGTCTTCAGCATGGCTCGTACACAGGCGCAGTTTTTGACCAAAACCCGGAATAGCAAGCGCAAGTTTTCAGAAAACGATTCGGAGAAGACCATGAGCGGGAACGAAGCACCGGAAGTGGAACGCGAAGAAGTTCTCGAGGAGAGTGTGGTCAACATGGACGGAACGCTGGTGGTCGAAAACGACCAACGCACCGAGATTCTATTCTGCCTGAAACGAGGGCAGTCCGCATTCGTGGAGCGGGGTTTCACCGAAGTTATGCTCCACCATCTGCTCATAAGTCCCTACGAACGATCTTGGCTGAAGCTCCTGGTGAATCTGACTTCGAAATACATCCGATTGCCGATCGAGGTATCGTCACTCGCCCAAGACCAAAGTCAATTGACGAACTTCGTGATCGAGAATGAGGTGCCAAATTCACTGAAGAAATTCTTCCTCCCGGAAGCCTGGACCCATTTGGAATTCATTGTCGGCTCCAAGAGATCGCAGTTCTACTGCTCCGTTTGTAGATCGATACAGAACTCGAGAATGATCCAGTGCACTGCGTGTGCACGACGCTACCATCACCATTGCGGCTTGGCAGCTATGATCCCTCAAGCGACGTACGATTGTGCTACTTGCTGTCTATAGCGGAGCGAGAGCTCAAGGTGCGGCGGTGACCGATAGGAGTTCTCAGCCTCTAAGTTTCATTTCGTGTCGCCCGACGAGGTGAAGTTGCAATTCCCGATGAGGTAACACAACGACTTCATGTTTTCTCGATGAAGAATCGAGTCTGCGCATAGAGCGAGCTCATCGAACATCATTCCGGCAGTCCCTCACATTATTTCTTGGAATTCACTTTTTTCTCTTCAATCTTTTGAGAAGTATCCGTCCATGCGATGCGCGCTTAGAATTCGAGGAAGTCTCGGGAGCCATTACGAAAGTGCACTGGAACTTAGGCTCTCTTCCGCCGCATAGGAACAGGATAGAATAAATAAGCAGATTCTGATGAATTGTTCGCGGTGAAAAATGCACGATGTCGCGTCGTCCTTCAGTTGGGAGGATTTCAGTCCCGGCAAAGGGTAGTGCTTGGGAACCTCCAATGTCGACATGCATTGGGATTGAAAGGGCGAGGGCGAGAATTGGCTCGTCGCCGAAAGGAGGCAGTTTCGGGGAACTTTCTCATCGATAGAATCTTCGAGCAGCCCATGTGGATCCTGGGTCGATGCTCTCCGAGCAAGGCATAATGAGGGCAGGGTATCTCGAAAATGGCAGACCTCGATTCGAAAGCGTACCTCCTCATATCACAGCCATAGATCCGCGGATGAGGGGCTTGTGTCGAGAAGCTTCGTGTGGCATTTCACGGCGAGCCAGGACAATTTCCGATCGAGATTTCGCTAGCCGTCTCCGCTGCCCTATGCTCATCTAGGGGCACGACAAGAATTGAGATCGGAGAATGGAGCCCTTCTAGATGGTTTGTTTCAATCCTGTCTCATAGCTGCCAGGAAACTGCTGCCAGATGTCAGTACTACCGAATTCTAACATATAGTTCGGCGGATATCTGTCGCGAAAATCAGGGTTTCTTGATCGCTTTCGATCATCGAACAATTTGTGATTTGTCGAGGTACCGAGAAGGACCCGGTATGGTTGCGGTGACCGTCGGATGAATGCATCCCTGCAACCTCGTTCCGCGCATCTCCAAAAAATCTTTCAGCATGTTCTCGACTGGACTTTCGTTCTGCCCCATGACGACGTTGGGAAGCCCCGAACGATGGGTCGGAATCCATACGATTCTCCCATTGAACGCTCCTATCGAATACCAAGACTTCCTAGCTCTTCGAAAGAGATCTACCGATGAAGAGGCCCAATGGGCAGGCTCATTGACAATCGGCGCTTTCGAATCGAGCGGTGAGCGGGTCGAATCTGAAAGGCTACTTCACAGGGTGCTTCAATCGATTATTAGGCTTGGAAGCCGGGTGGCTGAAAGAGGTCATCGCGGGGCTGCTTTACGCAGCCCCGCTAAGCAGAGGCTTCGCGCAGCCGAGTGCTCCGGGACGCAGAGTATTCCGGGACGCCCGATTATCCGATTCTCGAACCAAGGACCTGAGAGCTATGTGTAGGCATTTGCTGACATACTCGGAGAAGCTCCGCAGGGACTCGACAAGGGGGCCACCTGATGCTCCCGGTTCACGGAGTCATCTTTGGCCGTCCAGGGGCTCCTTACGATGGGACCAATACCCCAGGCCTAAAGAGGTGTTTCTACTGGCGTATCCACCGCGGAACGATTTTAACGCGGCATCAAACCAGGGCGACTCGAGCGATGGCGTCTTGGGGGAGAAATGCCAGAACGGTCTCCGATAATCATCATTATCGATGAATATCAGTTTGCGCATAGCAGTACGTATCTAAGTCGGCGTCTCATGGATTTCGCCGACTCTATTGGTATCGAAAGATTCCCAGTGAGCTTTTCCTACACAGCCGAGTCTCCCCAGGAGCGGGAGCTGTCACTGTCAATTTGAGCTATTGATCCGAATACGCACTCAATGCGGGAATGCCGAATCGGCTTTCGCATCTTCCTCGACTCCGGTACAGTCAGCTCACGGCTGGGCTCGGGTTCCCTAAGAATCCGTTCATTTTTGACGAGTAACCCGCTCGATGCGGAGACTACATCATTCAATTTTTTCCGCATGCGCCTCCCTCCAGCGGAGTCGCTGGACTGGGCAGAGGAGGGAAGACAACAGGGTGGAGCGACCCCTTGTCGAGGAGTCGAGCGAGGACAGTCCCGGGTTCACTCGATGGGGATGAAAACCGGTCGCAGCTCGTCAACAAACAAGGGATCGAGCTCCGGTGCTTGCGGTCCGTGGGTCGCGAGGCCAAAAAAGTTTCCCGCTGTCGGTAGATAGTATGAGGCGACTTTCCACATGTCCGGCACGACAAGGAGCTACTCCGATCAACCTCCGGAAACTCCCAATGATGGTGGCATTTGCCTTGCTCAAGAATCCGGTGATAATCGGCGATGCTTCCGGGGCTCCTCTCGATTCTCCCATCTCCGTCTCATACTCACACGATGCAACGAGAAAGTCAGGGGTTTCCGTCAAGAAACAGTCTGGACGCTGTACGGTCGGACTTCAGTAGAATGCAGACCCCGTGACGCAATGATTGCCACGCCGCGAGGCCTATTCATTAAGTCCCCGGTGGCGCGGCCCGGGGCCTGGCAGAGCTCTGCTCGACACCCTCGGAGCTTTTGGAAGTCCGAGGGGGGAAGTCAGCGTCCTTCGAGCCAGCTCTTCGGAACTTCCAGATCAGCCGTCGAGGGGCCATGGGAACGGAATTCGATCTGTTTTCGTGGGGAGCAACGAAGCTGTCTTCATGAAAAGCGAAATCCAGCACCGAGTTTCGGCTTCGAGTAGTGATCGCCAACAAAAACGTCGACGCTGGACGATCCGAGCGATACGTCATCATCTCACGCAGATTTTCCCACAAATCATGATGTGTATGGGTGGACCCAAGATCCGACCTTCCCGATGCTCCCGCTAGCGGGCATGCCGAGCAGGGCTCAGTTGAACGAGGTCTCTCCAAGCCAAGATCAGAATCAAGAGCAGTATCGATCGCCGTCCTCTGAAGCTACCAGGGGCTGTCCGTCGCAAGATGGTTCCGGTCAAGAATACGCAGCGAAGCATTCGCTCTACACGTACAGCTACAATAATGAGAGAGAAGTGAATTTTTCGCCGGCGGAGCAAGTCGAAGACAATAACGTGAAGCCCATCATCAGAGAAGAATCGACTGGCGCCGTCAACGCCCGTGTGGGTTTTCTCACGGAGGAGATGGTCGAAGTGATGAGCGACAGCCCAGCGAAGGAAGTCTACGAGAAACCCGAGAAAGATGAACAGAAAATATTGCGTCGCCTCGCGTACGCCACGCGAACTCAGAAGGCAAAGATGGAAGGCGCATGTGAGAGCGATCCGAAGGAGGAAAGGAAAATCCAGACTCGCAGGCTCAAGAAGAAACTGGCGAAAACCTCAAAAGAAGACAGTGACCTCAAGAAATCCGGGAAAGTAACGAAGACCAAATCTCAAGACTCGATAGGCAAGGCGACGGTATCTGTCGATGGCTCGAATGTGTCCTCCTCACAGAGAGCAGAAGCGCGACAAATACGTCGACGTACGGATAAGCACCATAGCAAAGGCGACCTGAAGCCGAGCATGATGAAGGCCAGCATTACTACACGTGATCCACAACCTCAAATGGACGACCTGCTACATCGGCTCGTCAAAGGGGTCCCCTCATGCAAACAGAATTAGCGTTTATTTTATGGATGAGTATAGCGTAGCTTAGAATATTTTGCTTGATGACATTCCGCAGTGCTGCGTTCGCGGATCTGATTCGAGATCCGGAGAATACATGGTAGATGTTGCAAATATTCATCTTTTATATAGATTGGACAGATATCTTTGCAACCGTGAGATCAACTCATTTTCAGTGACAGCTCAGGGAGACGAGAAGGCTTCATCGTCTCGATGGAGCAGCGACAGAGCGGCCGAATGAAGTTCTTCGCGTTCTCTGGCTAACCATTCGTAGAAGGTTCGATGCCGATACGCCTCCGATGGGGCTTTCCATCCTTTCAGCACGGGCAACTGATCGCAGATTATGATTTCAGTGGCGAATTGCTTGAGCGGCCATCTTGTCTGCAGATATGCTTAAACCTTATCGCTGGAAACGGGATTGGTTTGACCTACTTCGTTTGATCTGCTTTAATTGACAAATCCATCTGGGGGAGGAACTGTTGTCGAGATGTTTTTGAAAGGCTGACTTATTGAGTAGATTTACGACCACGCAGCCGGCGCGAGTCGCATGTAAGATCTTGTCTAGGCTGGAAAAAAACTCAAGCGAAGAGACAGTGGATTCACACTATAGGTATCACCTCGTTCCTATTCGATCATTGTATGCATAGAGGAACCCCTAGGAGCTGATCGAGATGAAACAAATATCATGTTGCGACGCTAGAGAATCACGAGTGTAGCATGGCACGAGGGGGTCGGCATCAGATAGGGAGTCTCGAAACACCTTAAATCATGTTTTCTCTGCCACCCTCGCTCCTGCCATCGGGCCCTCCACTCCTGCTCGAACTGCCTGTCTCCAACCGAAGTCAGGGTGCGTGTAGCGACCGTTTGTGGCGGAAAAATTGCTTGTGTGGCTCATAGCGCATTTCAATCTTTCTAGCACAATTAGGCGTACCATAGCTCTCAGTCTGGGTTTCGCCTTGATTCGTCCGAGTTCAGGTACTCAGAGCCAAGGGTCGTGCTGGGAGCAAGGATATGTCATCTCCTGAAGTTTCACTTGAGGCTCGGAGCCCGAGCTAGGAGAAACCCGGGATTTTCGTATTCGATCGTGTGTCGTCCTGACGCCACGCCTGGAACGACCGCGCGATTTTCTTCCGAAACGCCGCTGTATTAGTTGCTTCGCCTATGCGGGACTTGTGCAAGAGATCGGAAAGTTTTGTGCTCCTTGACCTCAGATTGCAGAATTCATTATCTGAGCTCAGCTCCCTGACGCTCCCGAGTCCTACCCGCAGCACATGGGAGCACCTCCTCTCGTTGCATCCAGCTGTGATTCCTTCGCCTCGCGAACTGTCACAGATTCCGTCTATCGGGAGGTCAAGGCGTGACCATCGTTTCCCATGCGCGAGCTTGGAGCTCCTCCGACTCCGAGCTCCTAAACGGTTTCCGCAATACTCAACTCCAGGAGCTCGTTCGACTTGGAAACTTCAAATTGTTCTTCGTTTCCCCCCTTGCTTCCATGCTATAGGCTCTAGGCGGAGGACCGTTGAGCGAACTCGAGCCAGTCCGGATCACGAGTGCAGAAGGAGATGAACTGCGTCGGCCACGGGTGGGTGGATAATAAGACATCGTTCGTCTGATCGCCTCGATGGGACCTCTAGGACGTTTCGGCAGACTTCAGTTCTGTTTTGGCATTGGTACGTTCTGCGAAGCGGGTATTTGTGCTGATTAAATTGGAGCTCCGTCCGCTGCTCCTATCGCCGTCGTCGAGCGCACCCGTTGAAAGTTCAACGCCGCCAAGTCTAGCCTTCGACTTGCTCTTACCTCCCGAACTGAACTGTCGGTTGGTCGCCGGCTCGCTCAAGTGCCCTCAGGAGAAAGGTAAAGCACGAGGGTCTTGAGCGTCGGTATGTGGGGGCGACATAAAATCTTTAATTCGCTTTTCGGCAGCTCGAGCCATCGATGAACCGAGTCGATTGGACAATGCCATAAAACGGCCGAAATCGTTTCCTCTCCTCCTCGCGTAGCGACTCACGGCCCTCCCGCTCCTTCTCCGCTTGTTTTTTCTCCCCCGGTTCCGTCAGTCGCCAGCGAGCGAGAGCGATCTTTCCTGGAAAGATTCGAACCCGCAAGCGGGGCTCGGATCGGATTTTATCTCCTCCGAAATACTCTCGGGCAAACCATCGCTGCCAGTTCGAGTAACTCGATTCCGGGTCGATTTGTCCGAGTTCAATGTAATGAGAGCCTGCAACCGTTCTCGACTATTCAACGGGATGGTGTTTCGCAATACGCACAAGCCTTGAACTGACTGAGAGAAATCCGAGCGTTTTGGATTCGACCGTATGCGGTTTCTCTATCGTATCGGCTCGCCACGGCCCCGGCTGTCTTCGCCGTACGATCCCAGATTGTGAAACCGGGCCTCCCCTGCGAGCTCGGGCGTCAGAACTACAGCAAGTAAGACTCTTCGTCCGATGTGATTTTGCGGAGCAGATCACACGAACCTCTTCGATAATAATCTCGTAATAATAAAGTGTCTCGACGTGATCGCCTTCTTAAATTGACGAAGTACCGTCACGGCTTCGAGACTCCCCCTGTTCATCATCACTCTCCGCCGAGAACAGCGACGACGTTGTCATCGAAAGCGACAGTTTCTGCGTTCGACTCGGGCGCTTCGTACGACTAATGAAGCTTTGCACGAGATCGGGGCGAACTCTCCGGTTGCCGTCGACTCTGCACTCCGATGCGCTTTCGTTAGGCGGCTCTATCTGTTTGTGACTTTATCCAGTACGGAGCCCGTGACCACAACACTGACTCCGGAAGGAAATCCTGAAAAAAAACTCCCTATTCGGGAGAGTGGGAAGCAGACCATGGGAACGTCACCTTAACTCGAAACACCACGAGAACCATGACGGATCGGACCAAGAGCTAGAATCCGTATTTTTGCGTCGGAAAAAGAATTTCCGCAAACGTTACGTGTATCGCGAATGGGACGGTCATCGGCCAGAAGTGATCAGTCTTGGTGAGCGAGTGTCGTGGCATTCGGCGCTAATCGCCTGCGACAAGCGTGGAATAGGTAACGGGTAGGAAGGAGGTCGCTCGAAGCCCCAAAGGGAATCGAGCTCGCTCAGGCCATGATTCTTGCCCACGGCCGACATCGCTTGTCGGCATGCGGGTCTCGAGACGCTAATTCCCCCTAGCGAAACACCATTTCTCGTTCAGGCTTTTACCGTAAGGGCTTCCGTGAGTGTATCCGCAGGGGTTCCTTCCAGGCAGGGTCTGCGTGAGGGGTGTTCGATTCTGCACGCTGCGCGGGAGAAGTCTGGGAGTACCACCTGCCCGATTCGCGTCCAAGGCACTGTCATGAGCTCTCGGCGCGGATCATCATGACGAGCGGGGCTTCCAAAAATCTGTTTGATAGCAACGAGATTTTTAAATTCTGTGTAGGCGTCTGTGTTCTATTCCCGGAAGAATACACGGCGACGACCCATCAGTTTCTTCTCCAGACTCCGAGCGAAAGCTAAGCTGTCTGCTGCTCTGAACGCGTGTGAGCCCCTAATTAAAACCTAGATTGCAGGGATCTCCTATTGTTGGCGCTCTCGATCGTTGCTGTACCTTTCCTCCGGCTGCACAGATCTTCTTCGTTTCCATTCTGCAGAGGGGTCTGTCCACCGGTGATCAGTGATTGATTTGTCCATTGTCTCCAGTGAAGCTGGGGATCGTTGTGGAATCCCTCCCCAACATGCCCAAGGCTTCTACGCGAGAAGAAAACCCGATGCTCGTTAATTACACGAATCAGGTCTTGAGAGAAGTCGAGCGGACCGAGGGCCGTGTTCCGAGATGGCCCACTGAGCCTGCCCGATATCTCAAAATGGAGAGCCAGGCAATCCGCACGTATTTTACATGCGTGTTCAGGATGACAACGATCCCCACTGACTGGTCGAGTTTGATCGGGAGGTGACGATATCTCCTGTCGGTCGGGAAAGAAGAAGACGAGGAGGGGGGATTTGTCCCCAGGAATATTTCTCCATTGCTCACTTCAAGAGGGAGTCTCGGGATGCTCATTCCTCGACATGTAGTTCTCAGAACCGTCCCTCAGGTTCCGCGTAATTTCCATTTCAGACAATTGAGTTCCTGAATTACACGAACTCCGCATGCCGACGGACCCACTCCTTCCGAGTTATGTTGCGACGGAATGTCGAGATATTCTGGAGGTGAGCGGCAATCGCGCGGAAAAGCCGTGAGTGCTCCGCGACGTTACTCGCTTGTAAACGCCAAGCCTCATTAGGTTTCCGTCCGCATCAGCAATGTTCCGTGCTCGATTTGCTCAGAGAGATCTTGATCAGAGCAGCTCGGCGAGCGACTCAAGTCGAATATTGACTTCAATCCCTAATGCAATATCTTGCGAGAGATGCCTCTAGCAATCAGCATGTCTGGCTGACGGAGTGAGTGCGTCAATCCAATCAGACCCTCCGAGACTCCCCCTCGTGATCGAGTAGACGCCTCCATCTGCCCACATATATTCATTGATCACCCAGGGGTCCAGATGAGTTCCAAGGGAGGTCCACGAACCGTTTTCACCACGACAACGCTCCTGCTTCCCATCTCCTCGGCTGGTTTGGAGTCCTTCGCAGCTTATAGAGGTTCTGACAGGATCGGGTCTCTTTATTCGGCGAATATTCGGCACAATGAATATGAAATATGTTGAAGAAGCGTTGGCGTCAGTGGGACCTTCGGCAGTGGTTCGATGTCGCTTTATGGGCTCGCGAAATCGTTTTGACGCTTTGGGACGAGTTCTGATCGCCGACGGCTCCTACGCATATGAATCACCGTCGTAGCCCATATACTGAGACCAGCGCTGCGTTGCGCTGACGCGCCCTGAGCTCGTTTTCAACCAGATCCTGTGAATCGTCGTCTGACTCATCAAGTCACCCTCGATCTCGGATTCGCTCCCGCATTCGTCCTCAGCATTTTCTTTGAAGGCGTCATGGTCTTGGTCCTTCATCGAGCTCGTGTTGAACCTTCGCGCGAACAGATAACGGGAGATACTCTCGTGATTGAATTAAGGTTACGGTTTTAGCCCCGTGTCACGGAGATCGAGCGCCGATGAGAATTATCGATTTCCATATGAGATTTTGCTCTTACCTGAACACTTCGAGCTTGAGTTTGTCCTCAACACATCGAGGCACGGGATTGTAGCTCCAGAACGCGGCGAAAGTGAAAAGCACGCCTGATTCGTTGGCGCCCGTCAGCATTCCCGTACTGATGGTTCTCAAGAGTCCGTCTCCGTCGTGGGCTCCGACATGCCTCCGGCTTCTCATGAACGTCGTGACTCGCCTGGCTCTCCACAACATGGCGGCCTATACTCGAACATGGATTAGGAGATGGAGTCATTAGGGATGAACGTCCCCAGAAAAAAACTCAACGTCGTGAGACGCAATTCTTAACCATCAAAGCTCCCACCTGGCTGTACTCTGTGTCGCGCTGCTTCATCGAGCTGTATATTTCTACTCCAGGGAAGCCGATCTCCCGGGACATGGCATAGATCTTCGTGTTCATTTTCGGTGCATCAGCGAATCTCATTTTGCACATATTTGTGCGTGACAACTGCATCAAAGAATAGATCGGAACGTCGGATAACTCGTTCAAGTCACATTCACTCGGTCGAGGCGCGGAAGGCGCTCGTTTTCGAATGAGTATCGCGCTATGGTTTTCGATATTTCCTCTATCGCTGTCAGGAAGGAAGATTGGGGGCGGAGCGGGGAATACCTTGTACGTGGACACGTTCGACGACATCACACTCAAGGAGCCATTCTCCTCATGTCCCTCGCAGTCGGAAGCCGCGTAAACGAAAATATCATTACCGAGTCCTGTTGACTCAACGAGATGCGATTGCGTATGATTTGTTGTTGATACCGAGGGAGGAAGCGAACTAGCACTGGGGAGCCAAAATTTCACGAACCTTCCCTTGAAATAGTCAGCGGCGAAGACTGCACCGCAATCAGTGACTTCGTCGACCCATCGAACGGCACTCCCGACTTGCCGTCGAGGACACGGACCACCGCATCGGAGTAAATCGGGAATCCAGGACCGTGGCTGAACTGGACCAGGATGTCTGAGGAGGGAAAACACTCCTGATCCTCTGCTCCAAAGCATAGACAGACTGGCAACTCTCGGATTCGGACTCCGATGAGTCCGGAAAACTCCCGTGCTTCGGGAATTTCCGTGCAATCACGGAGAATCGGACTTCTGAACATGATTCCCCAGAAGCACCGCGGAACTCGCCTGGAACGACGTCATCATTGTAGTAGCCGATGGCGGGTGTCGAATACGTTTCTGCCTGAGGACGCTCTTCGTATTTCCACAGCAGGCTGAAGTCCTTTCCGGATAGGGCAAAGACACGCGAACCGAAGGGAGCCAGGACGATATCACGCACCCCATCCAAATCGAGGTCGACCAAAACTGGCGGCACCATGAAACCTGTGATTGCAACGCATTTTACACGAGGGCGGTTTGGATCCTCAGCTTGATCGATTGGTTCACGCGAGGAAAATCTAGAAGAACCTATTGTGTCGAAGAAACATAATGGGAGACATATGAAACCGAACGTATTAGACGTGCGGTGTGTTCAAACCTTTTTCGCTGTCTTGGAGGAGTTTGCGAGCACTCCGTGTAGACTTGGTCGCTATCAAATCGTTAAGGTCGAGAACCCAGAGACTGCCTGGGGTGGTTTCCCCGCCGGTTCCGAATAGAATATATTTCGAGCCATTCTTATAATTGAGTACGAGTGGAGAGTTGTAGGACTCGATCTCGTCGGGAACTGGAAGCCGACTAGCCACGTAATTCTTCCTTTCGTCTCGTCCCCAGGGTAAACCCCCACCGTATCCATGGGAGGGAATCGTTTGAATTCTCTCGTCTTTGTTCCGTCTCTCGAGATATTTTCTACTTCTCATTAGAGTCAAACCTTTGTTCCACTGAATAATTTCTCCGCTCCTCGATGAAACGATCACGAGTCTCGCCGAGAACCTGGTTTGCTCGCCCTTTTTCTTGAATGGATCTCCGCCATTGATGTTCAGAAAATCCTCAAGGCCGTCTCCATCGACGTCAATTATGGGCTGTGCTGTGTAAAAATTCGATATGGTCACTAGAGCCGGATTCGATATGTCCACGGTCCACAGGGTTGATCCGGACACTGCGCTCACGGCCAGCATTGTCTGCAAGGAAGTTTCTCCAAGTTTGCGAAGTCTCGCATCAATGACGGATTGTTGCGCGAATATTTCGCTAGTTATGTATTCGAAAGACGGGAGGGTTATATTCTCACCGACATGCGTCCTGCCCCGACGCAGTCATAAACGCCGTCATCGTCGATATCCAGAGAGCACGTCAAAGCGTATATCTCGTTGCGTGAGAACGTTCTCCAGATCAAGTCTCCTTGCACACCATCCAGCGCTGCGATTCCTCCTCCGCAGAACTCAGTCTGTATCGCGAATAGCTCCCAGCACCCAGCCGCATTGGGTCGAGTGACGCCTGGAGACAGGATATTCCAGAATCGCGAGTTCAGGGTCAGACCGAATGCGGAGGAAAGAACGTGTGAATACTGATGACGAACATGAGGTATTCAAGAAACGCCTGAGAGGTTGGCGTAAGGGGGGAAATTCCTTCGATGCCCGTCCTCAGTCGACGATGCAGTTCTACTCACCGGTGGCGAAACCCACGATCACATCCTCCACGCCGTCTCCGTTGACATCCAGGCAGCGGAAAGCACTCTCGGTGCTATAGTAGGCCCAAACGGTGCTCCAAACGTGTCCGACTTCTATGTGCTGCTCGGGCGCGACTGTACAGCTCGCTTCGAAACAGAGGAGTAAGAGGAGAGGTAGCCGAACCGGGACTGGCAGCATTTCTCCTGCAGATCCGAAGGCTCGGAGGAGTCTGACGAGCGTCGCGCGTGTCGTGCCTTGCCGTCGTCGCTTGAGGACTAATACCGAGGGTATCCTCCGCAGGTCGCGCTTTGTTCGAATCCCCGATGGTCGCATTCCTTGTTAGCGGCATTGACGCATGGGTTGTGGCGGGCATTCTCGCGCAATCGGCCATCGTCGTAGACGCATAGTGGCTCGCGTAGGAAACTGCGCTCATCGAGAGCATGGTGGGAGACGGTGGAATTATAGAGGCGCCCCCAGAATCGCAATGAGGAACACGGAAGGATTTTCGACCTCTAGAAACATTGAGACTCAGACATCTGCTCCCGTACAGGAGATCTTGATGAGAGTCAGGATCATCGATTGGAACAACCTCATGGCGAAGGCCCATCTCTATCGGAGAGGTGAGGGGAGAGCGGCAATGAATATTGGAATGGATCAAAAACTGATCTGTCTGACGACGGGGATCGATTGGATAATAATCAACTCGTGTAAGTATCGACGATATGCACCAGTTTTCCACCGCTAGGCAATAAACCTCGCATAACTGTTTGTGGTAACGCTCCGCTAATACGCCCGAGAGGATCCTAGACGCTGCTCGAGATCTGCGAATTAGTTGCTCGTCGAACTGAAAGACGCCGGAAGTCTCGACAGTGACCCGAGGCAGTTCTCGTACGTCGGCAGGGATATCATCGAGAACGGTTCTTCCTCCCAAAGGCACGGATAGAAAGTTCACATCAGAATCGAGTCAAAGTCAACAGATCCCGAACCCCTGGGATTGCTAGACTTCGGGACCATCCACGCGCGAGTCGAAGAAAGGGCGCGGAGACCGATTGCGAAAAATGAAAGACGAAACGACGACCGCCGAATATGATTGCTGACGCCACAGGTGGGCACCGCGCGACTAAGGAAAGTTTCGCCAGCCGGTGGGTCGGTATTTGAAGCTTGACGATTTGCGACCTGCCTCCAAGTACTGCCATCTCGGAGGTCATGCCTTGATATGGAGAGCGACCACAGGCCTCACTCGACCGCTACGAATTCATCGCCGAGACCCCGGGGGTGTATTACCGTCCAGTAAAGCGCGTAAACGTCGACTGATCGTGCTGATAACAACTAATAATCACAGCACGAGTGAAGAAGAACACTCCCCTCCGCAGACCTGTTCAATCAGGAGTTTCGTCCCGTACTCCATGGTGGATGACAATCATCGCGGCCGGAGGCTCCTGTACCTGATGGGAAGAGATCCCGACGAACAGCGGCCAGAGCTGTCCGAGCAAGGGAGCGCAAATTGAAATATTCGATCAAGAGGATCGAGCTCAAGAGAGTCCGGCTATCAGCTCGCAGCAGACATCTCAATTTCGCGGGGAGAGTCCAATTCTGGGAGCGGACGTGGCTCATTCGCTCGCGGAACTTCTATCACCATGATCCAGCGGAAGCTGAACATCGATTTCACCTTTTCGAGAACATGGTTTCTTCCCACAGCGAGATCATAAATTGCGATGATGATAGATGTTGGGACGATCATTTCTCCCACGTAATCGACAAATCCCTCCGAGCCCCCGCCGGAGAATCCAGTGCTAAGCCCAATCGTCCTCGTAAAAATCATGACGCTGCAATATTGCACTCCAAGCGAAAGAAAAAAAAATTCAACAACCCGTCCCGGGCATTTCAATTTATTCACCATCCATTACGTTTCTCCAAATATTCTGCGGATCAACAGTGTCGCTTGGAAGGTGCGCCTTCCAGCTGCATCGAGCGAGCTTAGTCCCTCGGAAGCGATTCGGCATCCCATGGATATACTTCTCTTGTGTACCAGACGTACGCTCCCTTGGGGTTGGCGGGGTCCTTCGGCGGCAACATTGCGAGATACGTTGCGGCATCGGCTCCCTGGTCGGGCGTGAGCGGCCCTTTGTGACTTGACATGTCCGTATCCACGTAGCCCGGATGAACTACGTTGACGATGATATCTTCACGGCTATCTTCATCGAACTGCCTCTGATGGATGAATCCTAGGGCGGATACTCCGACCTTTGACGCATTGTACGCCGAGTTGCCCCAGCCTTTCTCCTTGTGGGTACCGTCTTTTGCCGCTGCGACGAACTCATGCATGAGAGCGTTCAACTGTTCGATCGTAAGATCCTTGGCGTTGAAACGTGCGCGGAGTTCGGGACTCGGGATCATGCTCAAATGACCGCACATCGACGAAACGTGCACGACTCGAGCACCGGGTCGAAGGATGGGATACAGGATGTCGCACACGTTGCGCGTTCCGAAATAGTTTGTCCTGACCGTGACTTCGGCCTGGACATCGAATGGATCGGTCGCAGCGCGCTTGAATGCGATGCCGGCGTTGTTGACCAACACATCAAGGCCCCCATAAGTTGTCTGGACGAAGTCGCCGAGTTTTCTGATGGATTCTAAATCGTCGATGTCGAGCTGATGGTACTTGACATTGACGTTGAACTTCTCGGAAAGTTCTTTGACGGCCTGTCGTCCTCGGCCTTCGTCTCGCGATGTGAGCAGAACGTCTCCGTTGAATCCTCGTTGTACGAGGAGCTTCACGATAGAGAAGCCGATTCCTTTGTTAGATCCAGAAACTAGAGCGATTCTCCGGGCCATGTCCTAAGGATTTCGGGGAAACTCGCCCTTGTCGAACACAGCGAACACGGACTGTCAGCACAGGATTCCCGACGCGAGCGTGATTGAAAGCGACAGCTGAAACTTGGATCAGCGTTGTCATAGAAGCTTAGTTGGCCCAGGATACGCCGGAGGAGTGTCGGAGTCGAGTTCGAGTCGCGCAGCAAACTCAAATTTGATAGAGATTTGTTCGCTCCGCCTCCGTACCGATTTGAACATTCCCAATGACCGTTTGGCGGACTAGTCCGGAATGAGTGGCGTCTATGATTTTCAAGGGACAGAGATTCATCGGGAACACCTGCTGGCCAGCAGTCCTGTCGTGAGTCAGCCCGCAGGACTTCACCCGCAGGATTCCACGGGATTCTGCGGTGAAGTCGGTGTCCCTCCGTTGTATACCCGCGGGCTCCCTCAGAGATGCTGATGGATCAAACGCGAACGTTTGGGAAATTTCCGGAAGATAATAATGAAGTACAATTCCCGACCCGCTCGGAGGAATGCTCGGATCTCGGACGGCGGAATGCCTCCTCTCTACCAAACTGCCCCGGCGTCACCTGGAGTTCTTTTCGAAAGTCCACTCCGTGGGGGGGTCGAGTTGTGCGGGAGAACACCGAGCCCGGGCTGACCAAAGTCAGCTGTTCAGTGTGCTGTCAGCCGGCAAGCTTCTATGGTAAGTCTTCTCTCTCGAGAGGAAAACAAACCCCTCAGAAAAAACATGTGATCAGTGGGCGAGTTGGGTTTTGGCGTTTTTGAAACTCGTCGAGTTTGCTCTAACAGTGACCTGAAGATGACAGATCCGAAAAGAAGTTACAACCTGACTGCCCTCAAATTGTTCGATTTCCCATTGTTGGACGAAGACATCGCCAAAGTCGAGGTCTCGCCGTCGTACGAACGGATCAGCTGTCGGGCCACCGATGGAGGTCTCTGGGTCCTCGACTGTCCTTCGGGAGAGTCCAAACTACTGTTCACGAATGTGGTCGAGTGAGTCCTCCTTGATAGTCTATCGTGAACAGGAGAATATTCTAGGGACACAACAGTCTCCCGCGGAAGGGAGTCGAGGAAACTAGTCTCAGGGCTATGTGAATGAAAATTCCAGCTCTTTTCGGCGCTTTAAAATGCACCAAAGGATGCTAAAGGCTCCGGGAAAGATAGCGACCCGAAAAATTCTCTGACCCCAGATTCCCGCTCCCCAACACGTCGTCTGACGCGCCGGTTGGCATGGTCGGTTGCAATAAGTTCCGTTCTGATCGAAAATTCCGCCTCTGGTTACAGTTTTTGCTGGCAGATGAACACAACCTCAGATACCCTGCTAGTCATTAAGTCTGTAGGCTCGGATTTCTGCACGACTCATCAATTCGCTTCAGATTTCTTCACTACCAACACGAAGTATGCGTCAGATTCCCAGTTTTTCGGTGAGCTCACCCTCCTAATACTCAAAGCTGGAACGATCAGTGTCTATCGACTAATCCCTGCCGAGCAGATACTTTGCCTATCGCATTGACATGGCTGGCGGAAATACTGCAATCTCCGACTCATTATTCCTATCTTTTCGATCACAGTATCTTCGAACCGACATCAAGTGTTGCACTGCTGCGACCGGTTACTCGTTACGCTCGTGAACGATTCCACCGTGGTTTGCCAACGAATCACTCCGGTACTCATGTACCTCCAGTGGACCCACAAACTCACAGACGATGCCGTCGCTTACCATACCCTCAGAGACAGATATGTTTTCATTCTCACGAAAGCGAATGAGATCGTGTGCTTCGATATTCACGAGGGATGCCAAGTTGCCTATTGGAGACTCGGCGATCTCGTTCAAGAAGAAATCGTGGACTTCATGTTCACAGCGGATCTCAACAAGCTCTACATTTCGACAGGGAACACTGTCTCCGAAATAGAATGTCAGGGTGAAAGTTGGTATGATTTCTCGTGTCTCTTAGGGGGTTCTCGTTACCGAAACTTCAAAAGGACCCGCAAAGTGAAGATGATCCTGGAATTCGACTCCAAGCCGACGCTGGGAATGTATCGCGGGAAAAATCTCATCTGCGCAGGACAGAAACTCGTCCTCTTCGACCGCAGCCCGACAGAGTTCAATGAGAAAGTAATCTTCGTCTCGAATACAATACGAATGGAAAACCGCGTGCCTGCATTCCTTCAGAAGGATCGTCTGAAAGTTCTGCACCACGGTATCACAGTCCGCAGTATTCTGCAACAAGTGCTCGAGGGGAAAGGCTCATCGACGGCGGAGCAGATCTGTAAGCTGAACGCGTGGACGAACATATCGATGGATTTGACGGTGCTGCAGCAAGGAATCACGAACGATCACAATGACATGATTCAGTTCTTCTTCAGAACGAAGCTCGAACTGTCACAGTCCGTGATACGCTCTTCCGTGAGTCACGAAGAACTCCGCGACGAGTTCTCCTCGTGGCAAGCCGTCATCCAACAGGTCGAAGGGAAAGTTCAAGATGGTACGAGGAGGGAATTCGCGGAACGACTCACCAAAGTGATGGTTTCCTCCATCGCTCAACTTCTTCACTGGATATCGTCGGTGAACACAGAATCTCCCGTTCAGGAGGAATTCGTCTCCTATCTTTGCGATAAAATGAACATGTTCCGCAACTTTTTGTGCCAAGCTTCTTCGGCGGCGAACGACAGCGCCGAAATCACGGATCAGGTTTTCAATCTGAGATGGGATAAGAAATCAGAAGATGAGGTTATTCACGACGCGATTCGCAAAGGCACACTCGATGAGGTGAGAACGTACCTAGGTCAACGGACGGACGATAAGGACCTGCACGAAAGAGCGTCTCAAATCGGGAAGGATGTAGTACTGGACCAACTTTTGCGGGGCGAGACCGCCGAAGCCTGTAAACTCATGGAGAGTTTGGGTTGGGACGTCGACGAGAGATTGAAGTTCTTCTTTCTCTACGTCAAGAAGCAAGAGGACAGAATCCTCTTGCTCGAGATCATCATCGAGCGTCCGAGTTTCTCGGAAGATCTCCGGAGCCTTCTCGGCAAGATGGAAATCTACCTCCGACACTACACATGCTCGGGAGCTAAGAGCGTTTTGGATTCTTCAAAACGATGGGACGCACTGTCATCAACGGGTAGTCTCCTAGGCGATTCGACAACGCACTTGGTCGAGCACCATATGATCACGGAGACGGAAAAAGGAGGTGGAAATAAATATTCCGGTATGATTCTCGCGTGGTTGATGAAGTGGGACGAAGAAACTTTTAACCATGTCATCCTACACTCGGGAACCGCTCAAGAAGAAATGAAGGAGATGGACACGACATTCGTTTGGAGACATCTGCTCAAATACGCGAAGATGGCGGAAATCGACCGGATTATCGATGGCATCGCCGAAAACACTGGTGAAGTCTACTCGGTAGATCTGCCGGCCTTGCTCGAAGTCTCATCGGACATGCTCGATGATCTCGAGGAAGACAATATCTTGCCCGACTTAGCGGAAGATATCCGCTTGCGCATGGCTCGCAAAAATTTACTCTGCGACGCCATCATCGAAGATTTCCCGCGACTTCTGAACACGTTGACCAAAATCAAAGTATCGGTGTTCGATCTCTTCGACGTCGGGGTTTACCTCGACGAGCCGGACTACGTACACAGGATGATTCATTTCTGCCTCGCTAATGACTTTATATATTTCCTGCACATCTTCCTCGCCAAGGTCAATATCGGTCCTTCGTGCAGTCAGTGCATGACGCCGATGCTGAACGCTATCCTGAAATATAATGTTTGGAGGAAGAATCCCGAAATGATTATGGATGCAACCATGGCTTCCGCCAGAGAGACCTACGGAGCGAATTCCGCCGAAGAACTATGGCGCAAGGGGAAATTGAAACTCGCGGCCGTCATCAGTACGATAAAAAAGGAATGGAGCGTTCCGCCGGGTCTCCTGCCCAAGCTCCCCTTGCCTCTGGCCGGACACATACAGGAGAAACTCGGCGTTCTCCGAGATGATATCAGCATGTATCAGCTGCTCTCCAAGAGCATCGTTTTCGACCCCACCAAATTGTTCGGATTCCAAGAACGAAACACTCTGTACGAAGGGGAGCCTTGCGTGCTCCCACATTTCATGGAACCAAATCTCGTCGACACCTACGGGCTGAAAGAGCCCTTGACCTACATTTATTACCTCCTCAAATATCGACCGGGATGTGCCCTCGAGTGTTTTTTCAGGAGCTACAAGAACACTGTCAAGGTAGTTAAGGCAGCCACCAAGCAAGTTATCCGACTGGCGCTCCATATGTTCACGGATCAGAAATTCGTCGCTTGTTGTGTCGCCTTCATCAGAGGTATCGGACAGGACTCATCGAGCCTGAGACTGCTGGTCGCCGTAGGTCGCCGCCTGCTACCTCGTTACGCCAAACAAGACCTCGTGGAAAACCTGTGTCATGTACATTTCGCCAGTTTGTCCTCGCTTACGGCTAGTCAGAACGCTGCGTACAAAGAGTCAGCTCAAGTTATGCTCCAAGATCTGGACCAGGTCATTCGTGAGGAGTTCGATGAAGACCAAGGCCGTGTTCCTCTATTGAGAGCTAACAGTACCGTTCTTCTGCAAAACGATTTTTGCGTTGTTCATCACTTGGAGGTGCCTTGCACCATTCTGGAATTATGCACGGAAGCGGACAATTGGCTCGCTTTCATTGTCTGGAGTCAGGTCCTGCAGATAAGCCGACGGCGACTCATGCCGGTCTTGAAACGATTCTCGAATCAAGTGTATCGGGAGCACCTCGAAAAAGCTTTCTCTCAAGTGAGCTCCCTGAAAGACCCTGCAACCAAAAGCTCAATGACCCCTGTCAAAAGGGTGAGTACTTAAAACTTCTCGGGTAAAAATTCTTGAACGAGCTGGCGGTTGAACTTTCTGCTCTCTCACAGGACCTACGGGCTTCGCTCTATAATAAAATTGGAGTTGTGAAGCATCAACAGATCATCGATAACTTCAATTATTCGCCACCTGATCCAAAGAGAGATTCGACGTCACAATCGGATCCTGATTCGTTCTCGTGCATCAGTGACGAGTCCTCGGCGACTGCGACAACCATTAATACCCAAGGATCCGGTCAGTGGCTTCTCTCCATCTTCTTCCAATCCCTAAAATTGAAAGATCGGTCGAGTTGGAGTCTCGTCTCTTCATTCAGGGAGCAGTCCGAGTTCAACACATCTTGTTCCTGTTGCAGGTGGCGAGCGCTCCTACGCAGCTAACCTAATCGATCTCGTCGTATCGAGTCATCAGAAGAAATTTCCAGTGAGCGAGCTCCTCTCGGCGGCAATCTATCACTGGAACTCGGCGCCTGCCCTCATAGCGACCCACTACAACGAAAAAATTGAGCAGTGCTTCGCGATCTGGCTCGAAACAACGACAGTTTCAAGTCACACCCGATACATTTCTGAGAAGAGCTCGAATAGTCTCCTTGAAAGCGTCGAGAATGCCCTCAAGCTACGTCAGCTGCCTTCGCTGAGGCTGGGCTACATGCTGTTCATGCCCGAATCGATCACACTGCCCCTGGTGCATTTCGTGCACGGTTTCCAGATCGACAAGAATTATTATCACGGGGAAGGATATTGGAAGAGCTTCCTGGAGAAATTCCAGAAGGACAAGAGCGAAATCGAGATCATACGTCGAATTCTCGTCTATGGGATCCTCATCTGCCAGTCGGTATACGAGCAGCGACTCCTCCTGAAGAAATTCAAAACTGTGCCGCTAGACATGAAGCCAGATTTCACGTTTTTCGCACAAATTCTCGAGAGTGTGGCCGAGATCGATTGGGAATTGCCGTTCGAATCGATGCTATTGTCCGACGAGCCCGACGAGCTCGAGGAGATCATGCGCCGCGAAGCTTCGCGACTCATCGAGAATCAACACTACGAAATTGCGATCCGTTTTAGCCGAACTGCGAGGCTTTCACTCGACGACGTAATTTGTGAACTCCTGAACCATCAACTCGAATCTAAGACCCACGGAACGCTGCATCATGCTTTTTCTGGCGAGTCTGAAAGCTCAATGGAGTCGAGTGCTAACATCATCATCGAGGGGGTGAGACAAGCTCGGGACCGCCATCTTATCCGCCGGGGGATTTCCGCCAATTTGATCTCATCGATTTCTCGAGATGATAGCTCAAGCCTCGGTGAGCCTCAAATCGATTCATCAGTCCGCGAGAACGGGGAATCTTCATTAGGCGGAGTCGTGAGACGCAAAATCTCGGTGTTGTCTGCGCAGAAAAGTCTAGATCTCTCGGAGCTCAAGGAGAAGTCTTTCTGGGACCGAGCCCACACCCTATTCAGGAAGCACAATTTGTCGCCGGCAACTTGTTTCATGTTTTTCAAGCGGAAGAGTGAACAGGTCGAGAGCGATCGCGACAAATTCATCGCAATGAGATACGCTCTACGCTGGAACGACTCTGAGGTAATGCCGCGGCTCTCAGCTTTTCGGGAACCAGCGCAGCATCGGAATCATTCGACGATATCGTGACGAAAGCGCTTTTACAGATGCATCGAACCCAGTGCTGGCGGTATCTTCTGAAATGCATCGAAAGTGGAGATCTCGAAGTCCTTGCGGATGTAGGTTTCGAAGCCGAGGAACTGCTCCTTCTGCGAACTTCTGAATACCCCCAAGCCAGAATTGTACTCGAGCGGGAAAGCGTGAGTGAAATTTCCCTGGGGAATCGCACAGCCTGGATATGATTTTCCCCGCGGACTCGCATTTCTGTCGCGTAAAGTCCGAGAGCACCCGCCTATCCCGTCGACTTATTTCGCAGGAGAAAAAAGCCATGCAGTTCTTGATAGACATGTGCCTGTCGAAAGTAGCCTTCAAAGAAGCCCAGTTCGTTTCAATCGTCTTCTCGACAACCACCGTAGAGTATCAATTGGCCATGACCAGCGTACAATTGGCAGAGGGTCTCATCGTTCCCGAATCCATTCCCACGTCAGTCAAGGATTATCTCGATAGTGACTCGACGAAGAAACGACGGAGGGTATGACCGTCGATCACTATTCCCCTTCATCGAAGAATCGAAATGCCTCATTCCCCTATATCACGGAGAAATTATCACCTCATATCCCCCTCTCTCGGGATTCCTTGTCCACCGATACAGCTTGCATGTATAAATTGGATGATAAGTGAGGCCTTCATTATAGGTGCGTCTTTCGAGTTCTGTCAGCTCGAAGTCGTGCAACACGATCGAAGAATTGACCTCTGTCGCGGAAGCATCGCGTTCAATCTGTCGAAGAGTATTCCTCCTACACCTGCTCTCCACATCTCTGCGTCTCGAATACGAGACCCTGGCGAAAGAATCCGATCCTTTGCGATTGCTCCAGCGTATCCTGGAATCTCAGTTGAGCAACAAGTTCCAGATGGCTAGAGAGCTGATTGCGGTTTACAATATAGAAGATGCTCTACTCTCCACATTCATTTATCGTGAAGTCAAGAAAGTGCTGCTATTCAAGAATGACGATTCCGAATTCGATTTGCCGGGAAATTTCGAGCAAGTAGTCAGCTTGTGTAAAGACGCGACGATACTGGGCAATCGGATTTTTTACGGTTTGAAGAAAGACGACGACATTCACATGGAAACCGACAAGAAAGGTGAGTCGAGAAATCCGCGAACGTCATCAATCATTCCTTGTGGGGGTAGATATCGTTGACTGATAAGGTGGGGAGGGGCAGCGACGCGACGTTCCAGCGACTGACCTCGAAGGATTTCCCCTCCCCGTCCAGTTCTATACAATGAGGTGGAACTCTGTATCCTGGCGCACCAGTGCTTCTCGGTCGCTTGCTGCATGGAAGGAATCTCACACGTTCTCCGGCATTGTCACGCACTCGTTCAATGGCTCATCAGGTATGAGGACGAACCCGCAGACTCCAGTGGTGATCCGTATCTCGAGATCCACTGCCATACAGTTCGGCGCGAGGGATACGATCGCGACGTAGGATCTCCCCGACGAGCGGAAATCCTCTAAGCTTGATGTCCATGTTCCTCCCGAAGCCTTAGAATTGATGCGTGCCCCTGATATTCCAGATATGAGAAGTTCGCCCTGATGATCCGACTTCTGACCGGAATCGGGCGATACAGCGAGATGTCTTTCATATTTGAGGCTCTGGAGGAATACGACCGCTTTGAGATGCTCTTTCAACGGGGCATGGAAAAGGTCATTGATCTCTCCGGTGAAAAACGTGATTATAGCGGATACTAAAGGCGAAGCGTGTTATGGTGTTATGGTAGATGCAGGATGAGCTTCCTCGATATAAAAGGGTTCCCGATCTAGGTACCGCATCTCAAAGTGGCACTCCTAGACTACCTCAAGAAGAAGAAAGCGCCGTCTTATCTGGATACCATGTTCAAGCTGAACTTCACCATGCACAGAGAAATCGCTGAGATGCTCCTGGAGTCGGCCACTGAGAGGGTTTCGAGTATTACTGTCTCAGAAGGTATGATAATAGAGCTTGGTCAGGCGTGATGTTTAAGTCTCGCTTCGAATCTCAGAATTCGGCGCTCACGCTTGTTTCCCTCTCAGATTCGATATGGCCCGCTTCTGCGGATCTTCGCTCGATATCTTCGGCCATAGAAACGATTATAGTGGACTTGGCTGATGCGGCAGAGGCTTTCGTGAAAGCTGATTGTCTGCTCCATGCCTTGGAGTGCACGAAGCGGGCAGAGCTCCTTTCGTTGCAGCTTCATTTCATTGAGCGGGGGTCCGATACCAAAATCCTCAAACTCAACCAGGAAACATTCAACGATTGGATAAAGAATCATCCGGTGAGTTCAAGCGGAGCTTCAACCCTGTGGAATTATTCTCCGCGGCAAGAGCTGTCCCAGACGATTGATTGCTGTTTTCACCGTCTCTATATCGATTTGAATTTCCTTCCAGGTTTTTTGTGAAGCGCGATTGGTAGCCGATGCCTGTCAATTCAACGTTGCATGGTATTCGCCTCTTTTCCTCAACGTTGTCGTCAAAGGCAACATGATATATCTACGAGAATTCCAAACCCGAATGCAAGTCACTCCGGACATCGTCTCGAAAATGACGGACTGGTAAGTACCATTCTCGGATGACTGCGCCGATTCCAACCGTGCTCGACGTGATCCCCATCACATTTCGAACTGCGCCATTCCGTTGCAGTTATTTGAAATATCAACGTCCGACGCAATCGATGCAATCCATATTCGAAATGATACTCGCGGAGATGCCCGACATAGAGGCGAGATACCATTGTGCCAAGAAACTCGGGTTCAAAATGTTAGCCAAATCAGAAACAGACGAAGTTCTCCAAGACCTGATTAGGGCGTCTCAGTGATCCCCGATTCCTACAATAATGATTTTTGCTTGACGCTTTTGGATGCCTGTGAGTTTCGGGATCCGCCACGATTCAAGCAACGAGACCCTGGGAACCTTCCGGATAAGATGTCAGCCAGCTACTCGTAGCGTCAAGGAAGCTCATAGAGGCGAGTTGGGTTCGTCGTGTACGACAACGGACGACCAGAACGTACAATTTTCATAGTGAGATATGTATAATTTGGAATATGATGACAGCCACTAGTCGAAGTTCGTTCGGTCAATGGGATCATTCCGCGAACCAGTTAATAAGAGCTATTTTACAGACTGAAAGAGTGTTGGGTCACAGATTGATAGAGAATATTGAGCTTGAAATCAATAAATCTCTAATGAGCCCTCGCTGAATGGAGAATGGTTCATTTTTTTGTACCGTCGAGATGAGCGAGCCCCAGTTTCCGGACAGTCCATGCACATATTCCCCTCCGCTAACCATGATATCGAGCATAATTTCGCGTAATGAGAAAGCGGGTGCGCCTTAAATTGTAATCGAGGCTATATTTGTTGGTTTTATATTTCTTAGAAAATGAATTGTACAACAACGGTTGCATCCACTTGTCTCCCTGCTCAGATAGCTTAACGACGACTGACGACCCAAGTGACCCAACACTAAAAAACACTAGGCTTGGCATCCGCAAATGACAGTCGCCCATAAGGACTCCAAGATCCTCTTAAGAATAGACAGTGACAAATGTAATTGACGACGTTAGATGTTCTACATGAAGTCGTCGAATTCGCCACCTCCGTAGTCATCGAACGTGTCTCTTTCGTCGCGCTCGACTTTCAGGGAAGTTCCTTGTTTCTTCTTTTTTCCCTTCGTCAACTGGAATTCGAAGAAATAATATGAAGTGGACGCACGGATCGTGCTCGATGGAGCGGACTTGAGGATTCGAAATTCGGAGATTCCAAAGCAGTATACTCAGCATACCTTCGTCATCTTGATCTTCTCGTTGACAACAGTATTGACAGTGGAGCTGAGTTTCCGGATGTCATCGACTTCGAGATTTGCCGTCAAGTCTCTGAGGAGTTCTTCGAGAAACCCGACATAGAGCGGACTACTCTCGTTGGGCGATAACTTCGCCACGAGCAATTTCCGGAGATTGTCGTAGTCGTCCTTGTCAACAGGTACCATGGAATCGATTGTTCCGGTCGCAGAGACTCCACACGTTTCCATCGCGGTTCGGAGATCTGCCTCCTCTTGCATTCTCTGTCGCCGCAGCTTCTCGCGGTTTTGCTCTTCGGGCGAGTTGTTCTTCGCCTCGGCCTCCAACTGTCAGAACAATACAATCAGAGTCTCGATGGGCGAGAAAGGGAACCTCCGTTTTTCCTCGTCGAGGTATTCGGAACGTTCTTCAAGTAGAACGTCTGTTTCGCCTTGATAGTTCCTGGATCTACATATGGCCAGTGGATCTCACCTTAAGCCTGCGCTCCTCGGCTTCTTTCCGTTTCTTCTCTTCTTTCTCAGCGAGAATCTGTTGGAGAGTCTTTTTCTTCTTGGGCTGGGAGGCCACTACTGGAGTTGAATCCGACTGGTCGTCCTCATCTTCGTCATCCCAATTGTCCTTGACATCGTCCTCGTCTTCGCCTTCCCAGCGATCTGACGGCTTCACCACCGGTGTTATGTCGGCTGTCTCTGGAATATAGAGAAAAACATCTCAATCCAGAAAATTCTACCCGAGAAAACGTCCCACCTGGTACCGCCCCAGTTGCTCAACTCCCTGATGTTCGACCGGAGTTTGGAGGGTTGGGAACCGATAATTCATAAAACCGCGGAGTGAGAAAATATTACAGATCAATCGAGGCGATGCAGAGAATCGAATTCTTGTTCTAAGGCGAGAAAGCCCAGGTATGTCGGACGTCCGGTACCTGCCCCTCGTCGGAAATTCGAGATAGCAATTAAGAGGTCGAGACTTCTGTTCCAATCAGCAGCGACATCTTCACTAACGGAGCCGACTCGACGAGATTGACATCAAGATTACTGAGGACATTCAGACCGTGGTCCACTTCCGCTAATGATTGATGACTGATATCCCGATATATGATTACAGCACCGCAATCCAGGAGAATTATACAAATTGCCTGTCTTCGCAATAATTCACCGAACGATGTGATCCCGATCGATTTTCGAAGGTGCGATCCCCCTGTTGACTATTCTCGGCGCCATGTGGGCGGTGTTCTCCGAAACGAACGGAGTGGAGGAGCCCATGGCACTATTTCATAACAGGGAGAGGCCGTCTTCTATCAAGCGGAATACCGAAAGAGAAGCGGAATTGAACCATATCAATCAGAGTGTCTCCGAGTCTTGAGCTTCAGAGCTGTCGTCAGAGGTCTAATCATGTCTCGAGAATATTCGAAATCACTAATCAGTAAAGACACATGTCGGCCGCAAGGAACCCATATGGAGCGGAATCTACGCGACGCGTGCGAGAAGCTCTTCAGTAAAAGAACTCACGATCGGCACCGAGATCGTTCTCCGTGGTCAGGCTTGCTAATTAAAACGTAGATATGTAGAAATCAACGAAATTCTTACCCCAATCGTCACTCATGACTGTGTGGATGACCACCTCCAATTTCGAAAGGAACGAAGCACAACTTCGAAAGTGCGAGCTCGGTCGGTAGGCAGGCAGGAAGGGGGACCTACAAGCTGCTCACGGTGAGCCGGAACAATGAAGCTCGATCGGAGTCTCGATCCCGGTGGTTGCGTAAACGCTGACTGCCTCTCCAGAACGAGAGCGTTGCACGAGCACGTGGGATACCGGAGTCCGATTTTTGAGACTCGGTCTGTGAGTCGGCTTTCCTCCTCTCACCGGCTGCCGCTGCGCCCTTTCAACGCCGCGCGCCACATGGTGGTGGTGCGGTGAATGGAGAAAGTTGGCGCAGCTGCCGGCGGGCGAACCGTGATCTTCTCTGTGTTTACATTTTCGCGATGGCTCCGGACACGAGGTGTTCGAAAAGCTCCTATTCGAAATGGGAAGGCGAAATTGGATCGCTTTCCAAGGACCTGACTCAATTCTTGAAGTGAGTGTTCGGTGATCTGGTCATTTGAATGAAAGTTCGTCCTCTGTCAATGTATCGAGATATTCGAATCACCTGTAGCTTACTCCAGACATATTCTGAAGCCTTAGTTCCCGCGATCGTTCGATTACGGGAGATGGACTTGGGCGATGACGGGTCCCGGCTCGGTTTCCTTCTCGACCACTTCCTAGAATATGACGGGACCCCTTGGCGTTCCGGAATTCGATTGAAGAACTCAAATTCTCTCCAATATCACTCCCAAGGTGCAATGAGAAGACAGCCGAGAAGTTCCGTCGACTGGCCAAGTGTATATATGATAGCCTGAGGCCGGAAGACAGGAGCGACAGTTTGAAATGCGACGGTAATCTCGACTATCTCATAATTGAAGATTTCGACGACGAGCAAATATGGTGAGTCAGATCCTGATGGTCTCTGAGCTTGGAGTTTCCACATGGTTGAGGATTCTACAAGATATCAGGAGTTTCTGGTGACGGAGATTCGCTATCTGTAGGCAAGAGTTAGAGCTGAGGAATCAGCCGATGCTTGCCGCATCCCTGAAAAGCGTTCCCAAGATCGGCTCAAGGGTCGAGCTGGATTTTGGGGTGGACCTCGAAGCCGAGGGTGCGGATGATGACGCTGATGAGGGTGAGTTGCACGTCGCAGTGTGATCCGGAATCATAGCAAGTTCCTCAGTCGATGTAGTCCGAATATCGATTCTCCACCTCTTAAGCCTGTTTCCGCCAGATGATAACATGGACGAAGATGAAGGTCTCGAGGAGGAGGCAGAGGGAGCTGACGGAGACAGTACCGTCGATGATGCAGAGCTGGCAGAAGCAGAGACGAAGCCGGCTAAGAAATCGGTGACCTGGGCGAAAATGCCCGTCCGGAAAACCATCGTCGATGATAACTTCTTCAAGCTGGGTAATCTGGAAGAGTTCCTCGACAAGGAGGACAAGAGAGAGGAGCGCAGGCTCCGGAAACAGAGGAAAGGTACGGATATGATCCTTTTATGTGTCATGAAACGCTCGGATAGACTGTGTTCGCATCAGGTGATAATCTCTCCCCATGCAGGCTCAGACTCGGAGGATGGCAGCGACCAGGAAAGCATTGATCTCTTTGCGGACATGGCGAGCGACGACGAGGGCCGTGAAGCTAAATACGACGACTTTTTCGATCCGGTTGAACACGACGTAGCTAGCGACGACATCGACGACGAGTCCATGGATGAGAGCGGCCGAGACCTCCCGAAATCGCAACAGGAGAAATCGAGTGAAATCGTAACTATCTCCTCTATTCGACGTCTCGATCCCGTACGTTCGGTACTTCAGTCTCTTTCCGAGCTTCTCTAAGGCTGGATCCGATTGTTTTCAGCTGATGAAAAGAATCTCGGCCATCGAGGACAACCGCCTGGCCGAGAAAGAGTGGCAGATGCGAGGGGAGATCACGTCCAAGAGCCGACCTGAAAATTCCCTCATGGAAGAACATCTAGATTTCGATCATCAGACTCGTCAGACACCTCAAATCACTCGGACCTTAACACAAAAACTCGAGGACTGGATATGCCAGAGAATCAAAGATAAAGTGAGATTTGGACTCCGACGGACACATTACATACCTCATTTCCGCTTCCGTTTGAGACAACCCGCTCCCCCTGGAGCCTTTTAATTGGATTTCAGCGAATCCCTTACCTACTTCCCTTTAATCTCCGTTCAGGCCTGGGACGATGTCGTGCGGAAAGTCAAGCCCGTCGAGGAAGTGTTCGAATTCAGGAGGAGGCTCACGCTCGACCAAGAGAAATCGAAGGTCGGCTTGGCTGAAGTCTATGAACAAGAGTTCCTAAAAATGAAAGAGCAGCAGAAAGAGGAGAGTAATCCCGAACACGAAGAGATCAAGAAACTCATGAGTGGTTTGTTCCGTCAACTCGATGCTTTGAGCAACTACCACTTCATGCCTCGTCCTGCGCAGCCTGACTTGAAGATCGTCAAGAATCTCCCCACGATAGCTGCAGAAGAAGTGATACCGGCGACTGTGAGCGACGCTACAATGTTGGCTCCCGAGGAGGTCAAGGTGGGTGTTGATCTACTCTCATATACGGTCTTGTAGATTCTTCGGGTATTTTCCTCCCTGACGGCTGAAATTCTCTGAACCACGACTCAGTGTTCTCTTTGGCAGAGTAGAAGCAGTTGACAGAGGAGGATTATTGTGACTAATCATTCGGCACGCACCGATGTCCCCATTCATCTTATTTATTTTCGTTGCAGAATAAGCCGAAACGCGAGGTCATCGCTAAGGACGAGAGGTCGAAGACCGATAAGAATCGCGAGAGGAGATTGAAGAAGATCACCCAGAAAAAGAAGCAGAAGTTCCAAGAGGAGAAAGAGCGCAAGAAAGCGGAACGTGATCCTCGTGCTAAAGAGCGTCTAAAGCGGAAACAGGCTTTGGAGGCCCTCAAAAATTCAACAAATGTGAAGGTTTTGAAAGCGGGGGGTGTGCGTAAGAAATTTTCTATCACGGGAGAGAACGTGAGAATAAACAAATAGCCAAGCGTTGGTTGAAAATTAGAGAAGTGGAATTGAATGATGGTGGGTCGAAAAGGAAGACCATTGACGCTTTTTCGCTCGCTTTCACTGCCGGAGTCGCGGAGACTAGTATTTGCCGAATCATATCCATCCCGAGATTGCGAAATTCTCTTGAAATTCGGCGAAGATTCCGTATTATTGGCTACTGAAAGGGGGAAGGGGTTCAGATGGGTGAGGGAGCTTTAGCCAGAGGATGAGACACGAGCCTAATTCTGTCGCTGACATGGCTCACTTGTCTTCTGGGGAAACCACAGCTGCGGAAGCGATTTGCGAAGGTGCTGGAACGATGGGTGAGGCTGGGAATGGTCAGCCACTTCTTGAGCTGAGCGCGCTCGAATGACAAGGCGAGGTCGGCTTCCCAGGCGCGGAAATCATTCGGTGGAAAGCGGGGTCGGATCACAACAGATCACATCTGTATTACTGTTGAGGGGGCCTCCCTCGAGGGTAGTTATGGAAAGACACGGGTGTCGTTTTCTATGAGATCCGCGCTAGAGATGGATCTGGGCGCAATCCTCCGGAGTAGACGGAAATTGTGGCAGACGGAAATATCGGCGTCACGCTCCGAAGGTTGGCTAATTATTATCCTTGACCGACGAATCCGATGGATTCGTTCATCATTATGCTACATTTTTTCTTCTCTGGGTCCCCACGAGCTCTCTGACTAGTATGCGTTGCCAAAATCACTCTATTTCTCTCTCCCGGCTCCGGAAGTTCGCCGCTGATTCACGTTTGATTTCCCGGGAATCCGATCGCATCCCCCTTCGCCTGCTTTCATGTCTCGGCCCAAGTTCCCCCTCCCTTGGCCATCCGAGATTGCAAGGCTCCTCGGAGATCTTGAACTACCCCGTAGTAGTTTTTGCTGTATCCCATCGCTTCTACGTCTTCCTCCCGATCGTCTCAATTTCCAAGGACTTTGCCGCTCTCAATATCTTCCGATGTCGACTTTCGCCACGCGTTCCCGCAGAAGTGTCCATCCAACTCATCCCCGCAGGTTCCGAAACTCGAACTCGGAACGGGCATCCCGCTAGACCAGCGAGACATAATTCGCGGATCGGTGGACCGTCCTCCCAACTTTAGGCACGACAATTGTGTTCTTTCGGCTCTTCGGATCATCCCGTTCGGTTGCATGCGGTTGTCTTCTACCTTGTCCTAGAAGCGTCTGGTGACGGCCTTCCGCGTCGCCCATGTCAATATATGAATCGAATTTCGTCTAAGTCTCTCCGGACGTTCGGGAACGATGGCTCCCGGAACCTCATGAGTCCCGGGGTAATCAATATTTCTCAATATTTTTCATGAGAGACATCTGAAACTCGTTCGAACCTGTAGGAAAGCTCAGCGGGGCGGGGCTCCAGTTCTGCCATCGAGCAAACCCACAAGCCCTTTCGAACCCATGGAAAGCTTATCAATCGTGCCGAGGGCATTCGAAGCGGATTCGGAAACACCAGTGTCAAACGGAGATGACGAATTCCATTCTCCGGGATATAGACACCGATGCCGTTTCCTGGAAAGGGTCAACTCCTGAGTCCGGGCAAACATGGCGAAATATCTTGAGCGTTTTGGCAACGGCTCATCGGATGCGCTTCCTCATCGAACCATGTGATCACTATCCGGCGCCCGACGACCATTATATCCGAGATATTTCTACGAACACATGGCTCCCGCCCGATGGGAAGTTGATCATCTACGGCTCCGATGAGGGCGTTTTGAATTTTTCACGGCTTACCCGTTTGGGGGGAAACTATTGTCCCCGGTGGCGACCCTGTGATCGGTTCGACTGAAGACAAACTGCAGCTGCTTCGGGGGAGAGCTCGCTGTGGATCATTTGAAGCTCGATTGTTTCGAAGCGATCGATGCTCGCGACGGCATCGTTCAACGCTGGAATTCGACGCAATAGAGCAAGGATACATATTTATCCGGGAATTCGAATAAAATCATTTTCAGCCGACAAACTCTCAATGAGATGCTCTTTCCATTGTTGAAGAGGGAAAATAGGTAAACTGCCAATCGTCGAGTCATCTGCCGACAATCTCACCGAAGAGACAAGATGCGCAGTTCCCCTCTCCACTGGAACTCGTCTCGCGGCATGTTCCAGCGCGGTTCAGAAATGCGTTCGCTCACAGAAGATTGAATCATAAGTCCCTCGAGAAGGAACGATCTGTCGCCCGTCCATCGTTATCGCGTGTCTGGTGAACTCCGACGAATGAATCCGGGATGACACAGAACGAGAGCCGCGGCGGGTTCTTGACCAAACAAAATCTACTGGGTTTGCTGCCGTTCGCTTTCGTCATCGCCTTTCTCATAACGTGCGTGATTACGTACCCGGAACTCATACCGCACTCGAAGTCGTTCCACTTCGACGAGTTGCCTTTCTGCGACAACGAGATCTTTCCCAAACGCACTCAGGGCAACTTCAGTGTTCTACTGTGGACAAGAAAATCGGTGAATATTGATCTCAGTGCTCTCGACCCGAAATCATGCGAGTACCAGAACTGCTTTTTCTCATCGGATCGCGAGCAGCTCAACGCGTCAGACGCGGTGGTTTTCAACGACTCGGATCTCGAAGCCGACGATCTTCCCGCAAGTCGGCTCGACAATCAACGGTGGGTGTTCTACTCTCGCGAAGCTCCACCGACATCGAAGCTCACGTCGGCCTACAACGGGATTTTCAACTGGACAATGTCGTACAGTAAAAAAGATGACGTTCACGTTCCCTTCTTCGAAATGTGTCGAGAAGTGTATCGCCCTCCGAGACGTAACGTCTCGGAGAAACGATTCGCCGCCGTCTGGTTCGTCGACGAGTGCAGCCCCTCGAGCTTGCCGTATGTCCACCTTCTGCAGACCGAGTTTCCCGTGCACATCGTAGGACCCTGTTCCCCACAAGGCTTCCACTGTACGCGGAGACGTTCCTGCATGGAAAAGATCTTGCCCCTGTATAAGTTCGTTCTCGTCTTCGAAGACTCCATCTGCAGCGATTTCGTCACTGAGCGATTGCTCGAGGTCCTCCGTTACGACGTTATCCCGATAGTTTCGAGTGGTGCAGATTATTCGGCGATTCTGCCCAAGGAGAGTTTCGTGGTTGCGTCCGAGCACGGGAGTCCGAAGGAGTTGGCCCGAATGCTTTTTCGTTTCCGAAATGACGCTCTTTTCCAAAAGGCAATCAATGCTAGACGCGGGGTTCACGCGACTCGAGTCGACTGGAAGTGTCGTCTGTGCGAGAAACTCAACAGTCACTCGAAACAGACTGGATCTCATGCCAAACTGGCGGAGGACAGGTTGAAACGTGGACGGTGTAAGGTTTGGCGGAGGAACTTCTTCAGAACGTACAAAGCGAGCACAGATATGAGGAGCGGGGGACATTGATATAGGATCTCGACGAAGTAGGTAGCGTATCATCATCGATTTTTCATGCACTGGATCGTTTTCGATTGCGACTCTGGAAGCTTAGATCTTCGCATTCAGAAACTGCACCCCTGAGAAAATTTTGTGGAAAACTGCCCACATATCGGGGCGCATCATCGGCGAGCGTAGGGGCAGCACCTTCGGGCTGATTGGAAAATGTGTGTAGACTTCAACGAGAGCTCGACTGGATTCATTTATATACATAATTTATAGATAGTAGAGACACAAGACGTCATCCTTAGTTTGTGCGAGAGAGCCCTATACTGTGAACTGTATCAATAGAACTACCCCGATTCATTGTAAATGACTTGAATCGGTTCTTTGCTCGAAAGGTCTGCTAGGAACATTCATCGGTGCATCTGTGGAACTGTGGAGGATCGGACATTGATTTTCTGGAGAGTCGCTCTCCTCACGGAACGTGACTTCAATCATTATCAGGGACTCTCCCACACAATATCAGTGAGCATAAAAAATCAGCATGCCATGATATGAATTTCGATAGGCCCTCATCTCATATTGCATGATCCGAGCTGGAGAACCGAGAAGTCATGGCCTGGTAGAAGATTCGTATATCCGAAGAGTCTGGATAGTACGCCGCGAGAAGAAAAGGGGAAGTTTGACCTTCCTCAATTCACAGCCAAGGATTCGGAGCAGCACAATGAGACTGCATGAAGCAGTGCATTTCAAAGTTCAGCCGAGAGAGGGTTGAGAAACTGATTTTATCATACGCTGTGGATTGAAAGCATGAAAACAATTCGAAACTACGTCACGGATTTTCTGGGAGATTTCCGATCGCGTCACTGTCACCGTTTAGGCGACCCTTCGTGATCTGCTTGTGCGAAATGTTCCGGCTCAAGACACTTAGAACGGAGCCGGATCAATGGACGAAACTTGAATGGAGAGTATCACGATATTTAGTCGAACTACTATAATAAAGTCCGAGCATACGTACGTGATCTTCTAATGTATGATAGGAGGCGACCTCTCCGCAGAATATGTATTTCTCTATGGGGACGATTTCGATCCTTAAAGGGGTGTCACCTCTGGCCGATGTTCCATTGTGAAAACTAAGTGACCACTCGCTGGTGAACGAGAGTCAGGCGAAGCGGTCCGACAGATTCTTCTCCACGAATTCCTCGCGGGGGCTCTGATGAAAATTCAGAGTGTTGAAGATTGCGCCCTCAGTCTGCTCGTCGATCGGGCAGCTGTATTTTAAGCCCTTGCTGCCCGCGTAACCAGCTGGGTCAGCCCGTTTTTTAGCCAGTTCTCCTTGCTAGAACGCGCTCACCACCGCGACTCCCACACGATATGGATGGAGCAAAAACTCTGAGGAGATCCCTCGCACCGGATGTCTTGCGAGGCCTCTTTCAATCTGATGGATTCCTACGCTCTGGGATTAGTGGGAATATGATTGAGCTGGGAAACTTTGTGCAAATTGAACAGTCGCTCGCTCCGACTATTCTGACTTGGGCATCTGTGACGGAAGGATGTACCACACGACACCTATGAATTGTACAGACCATACCAAGCTATCTATGGCTTTTCCGCTTCTCGAGGATTGAGAATGGGATCTCACTCAGATGACGTGGAGAAACGCGGAGATTCCCGAGGAAGATTCTCGTTGCGAGGAATCTCTGCGAGCCAGTGAGAATCGAATCCTTGTTCCATGGACTCCGAGAGTGTAAAGTAAGGAACAAGGTGAAAGTGAGGAATGGATAGGAGAATGAGGATATCGAGTCAGGTGAAAGACCTATCTTTGCTCGATTCGGAATGAGTTCGAATCAGGAGCTCTCGTTCCTGCTCCGAACGTATTTCACCCAAAGTAAGTGATTCTGCTTCGCGTAGAACTCAATTACGAACGTAACTGAGCTTGCTGGACGAATTTAGAACGCAAAGTCGTGTGCAGATCGATCTTGAATAGGACGAATTATTGAACCACCCTCAAATCGCGCGAAGGAGCCTACTGGCATATTGGAACCCAGACTCACGTCAGGAAATCAATCTTCGCCGTTCCTCCCCTCAAATCCCCACTCTCCGGATATCCTGACTACCGGGGCTTGTAAAAGGGAAAGAATTTCCATCGAGTTACGTCTCGTGCCTGTCACACGGTTGGGAATCTCAATCTGCAACCGATGACAGAGGGGTTTCCACATATCGAGTGATCTGCGCAAGCGAGACTATTCCTCGAAGGGAGCAAGCTCCATCTACGAAGTTCCTGATGAGAAGTACGCGATGCCACTGAACGGGACGTTTCCGGGATCTTCTGACTGACTGAGTGAAACCTTCTGTGAACGGGGCATTGTTGATCGCCAAAGCTTCCGAGGATCCATCGAAAGTCTGCAAGGTTGAAAACCCAATACATCTCATGGATGCCGATTGGATAGCCATGCGGTGCGGTCAGAGAGGCTGCAATATTTCACCACAGGTCTATTTTTGTCCAGATTACTCGAGGCTACGGCTTAGATAGCAAATTGTTACGCGGAGCGGAGATTAAAAAAACTCACTCGCAAGGCACCACCCACCAATTCATCCACGAACGAGATACAAAAAGACCAGGGGACGAGCGGGAGACGAGCTAGCGCCAGGACCGGCCCGCTCGCGAGTGCCGATGTCTACGTCCCCATGGAAATCTAAATGTGATGGCATTTCGCTGTCTCCGCTGCCATTACGCTCATTCATTCCCGAAATAGAGAAGAGATCCACTGAGCTCCGTGATGGCGCTTCGAATTTCGGCCAAATTATGAAAATATCCTTCTGATGACTCGGCGCGCGAATGGGGGGGTCGCTCTCATCACGGTGCCCTTGATTCCTTCTCGCTCGATCGCTCGGGAAGGGTGAGATTCGTAGGCGAGTGATCGCCCGGCAGAACGTATCGTCGCGTATCGTTTCTTCGCGAACTCGCAGAGCCCCCTCTCGAAGTCTGCTCCCTGCGGTGACGCGACGCGGAAGACGGGCGGCGGAAGAAGGTTATCCGAACTTTTTATGCAGGATGACCAACAATGGAAATACGTCCAGGTGTCAAAAACTCAGAGCCCGGCATGTTCTCACGGGATGCGACGGACTAGAGCTGCTGTCATTGAATGTCGTCTCGAGTCAGATTTTTCGCGTCCTGCGTTTCTTAAATTGGCCGTGACTTTCGCCAGCCTGACAGAGACGGAGCTTACGACTGTCAAGCTTTGTTTGAATCGTTGTCTCCGATGCAGATGCTTTTTTCGAATTTCTTTCTCGCCGCGTTTCTCTGATTGGATGTCGAGGCGAGTTTGCGCGCGATAGAAAGAGGGTGAACCTGTCAACTCTCGGCTCAATAGCTAACGGAGGTCGAGGATTCCGAAGGAGAAAACTTCGGAGGGGGACCAGTTCACCGGAGATGCCGATGACGACAACGAGGAGCAAAACGATGCGAAATCCCTCAAGGCGGCAGGGAGATGCTCCGTGCTGGCCGGGACCTCAATTCCAGGCACGAGTGCAAGCATTGATCTCGGAGCGACCTCTGAGGTCGCGAACACATGTATCTTGTTCCTCCCATGCTCATGAGGGAAAACGACGCGAAATCCGGTACATGTAGCTGTATTATTGCGATGAAGGAGGAAGACTTTATTTTGGAGTCTCGTTCGCGACGAGGTTCCGCGGAGCGAACTAGCTTGTATGCAGAGTGTGTTGCTATCCAATTTTAGTTCGTTTCGCTCCGGTTATACATATATTAAGAGATGGGATACACTGCAGTTTCTTTGAAAGGTACGAAGACGACGCAGGACGCATTTTCCATAAGCTCGGCAAGATGACACGCAACCTCCTGCGCAGGATACCGGGACTACTACTCCGAAAGGGGTTTCTCCAGTTTTTGAAGCTGAAAGCACGGCGAGAAAAGTAATTTGGATGTCGTCTGCGGTCCCCGCACCGACGGTCAGTCCGGTCAGTGAGTCAGACCGAGAGCGAGATGAAGATGAATCCTCTGTGCGGGCTTCCCTCGACCAGGTCCGAACATCGCGGGGAGAACCGCGGTCGCCGAGGATAGGGAAGGAGTCCACTGAGGATGTAGACATTTGCAGAGTTCGAGTCCGCTCCGCTCCGGGAGCGAGAGCCTTTTCATTTGGGGAAATACGAAAATTCGGGATGCTAGTAAGCTGCGGCTTCAAGCAGCTCCAAATGCGATGGTCCGGAGGGGACATTCCACATTTTCCGCAATTGATAGATACTGCCGACTGCCGAAGGATCCTTATCCCTCTTTCTGGGGGAGAGGCTTTCCTAATCGGGTAAATGCGGAATCCTTCATCCTTGCAGCTGATCGCGATATTCGGAACACGTTTTTTTTTTCTCCGTAAAAGCCGGTGATGTTTAATAGAGTTCCAACATCTACGTCGTGTTCGCTTTTCCCTTTTCGCCGGTCCGTTCCCCGAGCGCCCTCTTCCCGACTCCACGGAGGCCGAACCGTACGCAGACTGGACACTGCGCGTCCGAATTTTGTAGAGGGCACGCAACCTTCTGGGGGGAATGCTCAGCCTCGTCGCAAGTGAACCTAGGGTCAGTGGAGCATTTCGAGACGGCTTTGCAGCAGGAGATTCTGAATTCCTGCTGAGTCTCGGGGCGCACCGAGTTATGGCACACTCTCAGCGAAAGCAACTTCTCCACCCGTAAATGAGCGCATAACTCTCCGAGGGAGCCGAAATTGAAACCCACATCCTGTTGTTCTCCACGACCGTCGCATGAAAACGTCAGAAGGCTAGCCGGAACGGAATTACGGCTTCGCATTCAAATCCTACGCCTCTTCCGTCCAGTCCGAAGCTCAGCGATCGGAATTTTCTTCTGCGCACTACGAAGCTCGAGACTTAGAGCGATTCTCGATGATTCCCTCGACGAAGCCGACCGATCTTTACGCCACTCCCCGATTTCAGGACAAATGCAGAGACGAAAATAAACCTCGTTCCTCATCCGTCTCGTAGTATGTATGTAGTGACGTGTTA